CCCCCCCCAAAAAAAAAGTTCTTCCAAAATCTTCAAACTTTTGCATAAATTCAAGCTTCTAGTTCTAAGAAACCAACCTATAACTCCCTCGAGTTTGCTAATACAACACAAGAAAAGGGATACTACTGTTGGTAGCAGAGAACTAAGCTAAAGGGGCATAATTGACTTGGTCTATGTTGCTCGGATCCTCGAAAAATATTGTCTGGTGTGTGTCCGATCCTCCAAAAGTAATGCATTTTTGGAGGATCCGTCATAGGGACAGTGAGTTGGAGGATCCGAACAACATAGGACTTGGTTGATGGCTAAGGAGCCATATGCATTTAACTATAACTAACACTTCAAAAACCTTCATTTACTATGTTCATGACATATGCCTTAAGCATCAACCAATTAAACAGGCTGAAACAAGCTAATTCTTTTCTCTATAAATGACATTATACTAATCTTGATATTTATCTAACATGAAGGGGAAAAAAAAGTTTACTAATATCAACCTCCAGTACTAGTAGTGGTGGAGCTACTAGCCCATGTATCAATCACAGTATCAGGTGAAGCTGGAATATTTTTCTTCAATAACACAGCATCCTCCGTTTCAGAAGGATGATGCGCTTTTACCCTTCTAAGCTCAGTACATTTACCACTGATCTCCTTTCTGTGATAATTTTTCCATTCACCTTCTTTAATAGTCTTCAACGTCTCGAGTACTTCTTCCATTTTAGGCCTCATGTCCTTCACAGCTTGCAAGCACTGAAAAGCTAGTTCTGCAACTGATGTTGTCATCCTCCTAACTTCAGCATTTGTCTCGAATCCAAGAGCTGGATCGATCACCTCATTAAACGCGCACTTCAATATCCTGTTCATCGCGAAGCTAGCCAAGTTAATCTCGTGCATATGTCTATTCATATCCACAGCAGGCATTGATGATATGAGCTCGACAAGGACAACCCCGAAGCTATAAACATCACTCTTATCGGTAAGCTGGTAACATTCATGATATTGAGGATCAACATATCCCGGGGTCCCCTGTGGTGCAGTTGAGATATGAGTAACATCATTAGGGAAGAGTTTTGACAGCCCGAAATCTGCTACTTTGACACAAAAGTCATTGTCCAGGAGAATGTTATTAGTCTTGACATCGCGGTGTATGATGTCAGAAGCATGAAGGTAAGCCAATGCACTAGCAATTTCTATGGCGATTTTGAGCCGTATAGGCCATGTAAGTAACTTATCCTTTGCTCTATGTCCGTGCAGGTGATCAGCAATTGTTCCATTGGGAATGTACTCATAAACAAGGAAGAGTTCACGGCTACGTCTTGATGTACATCCATAAAGGATAACAAGATTCCGATGCCTAAGGCGAGTAAGAATTTCAATTTCATTGATGAATTGCTGCATTTGCTTGTGATTGTGCTCATAAAGGCGCTTAACTGCAACTTCTTTTCCATCTCTAAGTTTCCCTGGTTTTAAACATACAGTAATAGCTGTTAGATCAATATGCTTACTAGGTACATTGCCCCCTCAGAAAGCAAAACTAAGAAAACAAACTTTTGTGGATCGTCTTTAGAATATTATTAATTTACACAGTATAGCCGTCCCTCAAAATAATAGCCAGAAAATGAATATTTTTTGTATATTTATGTATATAATATACAATTTTTTTTTATAGATGATCAGTATATGTTTTTTGTATATTTGGCTAGCGACGGTAATTATTTTTGGTCAACCGGAAAAATGTGTTAAAAATATTTCTTACCATAGTACACAGTTCCATAACCTCCATCACCAAGTTGTTTAGCAGAGTTGAATTTGTTGGTGGCTTCTTCAAGTTCTCTGTAGGTGAATACTGGGATTCCTAGATATTGGCTATGTTCCTCGAGATCTTGATGAAGCATTGAAGCACCAGATGTATTTCTTGAAAGAAATGGTGAAGAATCATTTTTCCTCCTCTTGCAAAACCATATAACAGAGGCAATTGTGCAGAGTCCAAAAAGTAAACCAATAAATGCTGAAACTGAAGCACAGAATATACCGATTAACTGACATAATCAAGTATGGACTAAAAGGGCAGCCCGGTGCACTAAGCTCCCGCTATGCGCGGGGTCCGGGAAAGGACCGGACCACAAGGGTCTATTGTACGCAGCCTTACCTTGCATTTCTGCAAGAGGATGTTTCCACGGTTCGAACCCGTGACCCCTGGTCACATGGTATTAGCTTTACCAGTTACTCCACAAGGCTCCCCTTCATAATCAAGTATGGACTAAAGTTAAATAATTAGTATAAAGGCTAAATCTTGTGATGGAAAACAAAAAAATTGTAGATAATGGAATAGGTAAGTACCTGCAACAATCACTTTCACTTTTGTATTTCCTGCAACCATAGTAAACAATGCAAATGTAAGTTGAACAAAGGTTTATAAAACAGAACCAAAATCTTTAATGTAAACCATGAAAAAAGTTCTTTACCTTTGGTATTATAACAAAGAAATGTTTTAGTAGTATTATCAGTTTGACACTTCCCTCCTCTATAATAACACTGATTACATTCATCAGACACAGTCCATCCTAGTGTAACTTCATCAGTTAACAGATCAAATAAGTCATTTGATTCAGCTTCTGAACTCGACGACTTGGGCAACTGAACGAATGAACAGCCAGTAGGAAGATGAAAACCTTGAAAATAATTGATTGTTTGGCTATAGTATAATATGAAACTTTCACAGCTATTGTAACTTTGATAACTTGTGGACTTGAAAACATCTTCATGTATCTTCTGGCTATTATTGCATTTGAACAAAGTGAGAAAGGGGTTGACTCTATATGTTATTGAAGGAGAAATTGGTAAAGACAGATTTCTATCAAAAGATTGGCAACTCTTGTTCTTCAAGAAGTGTTCAAGAGTAAAATCCTTAAGTTTGATAAAAACATCATGTTTCTCAAGAGCTTGATATTTCACCCCTTCTAATTCAATTATGGGATTTGGAGTAACTTCACAATCCACTTTGCACAAACCACAATCAAGTTGAGTGGATTTGTAGAAAGGAAAGCTCAAATTTCCTAGACTTCCACACTGGAATTCTTTAGTGCAACTTGAGGAGGATGTGTTCTGTCCTTGAGCTGAATTAAAGCACCAAAAATGAATGAAAATGGAAATAAAAAACCAAGAAAATAAATCCATGATATACCCTTTTTGGATAAAAAAGAAAAGAATATCAACAACAACAACATTAACAAGAATATCCAAGAATGTTGTAACAAAATCTGAAGTTTTTAGAATTTCTTTTATTGTTTGTTTTTGCTTGGCTGTAGGATTTTGCATTAATGTTTGTTGTCTTTTGGACACGTTAAGTTGACTTTAACATGTGGAAGCAAGACTTTGAAGAAAGACAGTCTAATGGAAGATTGGCCAAATGGGGTGTGGGACCTTGTGACTTTTACACAATAGTGAATTTTCTATTCATCTTCTTTCTATTTATTGAAACAGTTTAGGGTAGGCGTCCAGCTCACACTCCTTAGGGTACGGCTTTTCTCTGACCCTGCATGAACGCAAGATGCTTTGTGTATGAGTGCATCGGGTTGCCCTTCATCTTCCTTCCATTTATTAGGGTTCAAAGACAAAAAAGTTTCTTGTATTTGAAATCCACACGCGACTAATTCAGATTCATACCATGTAAATATGCAATGAAAGCAAAGCGTTGCTGTCAAGAGGTTATTTTATCTCAGGCCCCGAAAATTAAAAATAAAAGGTTATCAACTATCTCACCACATCATTTGAGGGTGAGCTTTGAAACATGACTTATTAAAAAGGAGACATTTCAAATCATTCCTTCCACAAATAAGATGACCCCAGAAAGTAGTTAGGAAAAATGAGTACCTTCAATTAAAAGTTGAAAAAGACACTTTCTATAAATCTTTTTCACCTTTGGCTCTTCTTGGTATATATATAATATTTTTTGGGGGAAAATTGGCCAAGAATAAAATTTCTGTTTTTGTTCTTTTGATTCTTTTTGAATGAAGCATGCCATATTGGACAAGATTTAAGAAATCAAATAATCTACTCAAGATCCCCTAAAATTACCACTATCCAAAAGTTGCCATTTTTGGTTCAAAAGTTGGGGAGCTTCAAATCAGACTATTTATTGTATTTCCAGTTTTAATTGTTTTACACTGTTTTATATTAAAAACTTGCATTTTACGTCAACAATTTTCTTTTAACGTTGTTTAAACCAAACTCAATTAATACATTCAAATTACTCTGTAACTCTGCCGAAATCTGGAGGTTTGGAGACAGGCTCTTGAGTCTAAGGGTTTCAAGCTGAGCAGGACGAAGACGAAATACCCGGAGTGTAAGTTCAGCGCTGAGCCAGGGGAAGTGGGCGTGGATGTGAGGCTTGATTCGCAGGTCATCCCGAGTAGAGGCAGCTTCAAGTACATTGGTTCGGTTATCCAGGGGGAGGGGACATCGACGAGAATGTCACACACCGTATTGGGGTAGGATGGATGAAGTGGAGGTTAGCATCTGGAGTCCTGTGTGACAAGAGAGTGCCACCGATAGTCAAAGGTAAGTTCTATAAAGCGGTGGTTAGACCTGCCATGATGTATGGGGCTGAGTGTTGGCCCGTTAAGAACTCACATATCCAGAAGATGAAAGTAGCAGAAATGAGGATGTTGCGGTGGATGTGCGGGCACACTAGGATAGATAAGATTAGGAATGATGATATTCGGGAGAAGGTGCACGTGGCTCCCATTGATGACAAGATGCGGGAAG